GGCAAGTTTGGTTGAAAATGGCCCAGTGGTTCTGGAGAAGAAGTCGAAAATGTGAAAAGTTTACAGACGGACGGACGGACGGACAGACGGACTACGGACAAAATGTGATCAGAAAAGCTCACTTGAGCTTTCAGCTCAGGTGAGCTAAAAAGGTGGTTTATCATGATGCATACCAGTACTGTTTGCATGAGTTTGTGTTTATTCAATAATTAAATACCTAATAATGTTTATACAGCATAAACACACTGCCCAGGTCAATAGGAAAGGTCAAATTTAATAATATTGCAGCTTCAAAATATTCATGTATTTGTTCTTCAAAATTTTTGGAAATAAAACTAAAGTAATTGCTATGTATTTAATTACATTCTTCAAAGTAATTTAGAGCAATTAATTACTAGTGATGGGACATCGGTTAATTTTCATAATCGATCATCGGTTGGAATCGGTTACTGCTTCCGATGCGATTTTACCGATTAAAATCGGATTTCATAGTTTTGTATTCAAAAAGTAGACTATTACAATTATTTCATATTATATCTCTAACATGAATATATAAAATATATAAATAATGTATTATTTTCTTTATTGTTTTGCTTCTTTTATACTTTCTAAGCCTAAAAAAATTATGTTCGTTTGTTTCCTGTAACATTCTCAAACAAGAGGCCCATGGGCCACAACGCTCACCTGAGTAATTTTGGCCTTGCTGTTTTTCAACTGATTCCCCCCCCCATCCCCCTTGTAGTACTTATTGTGGCCCCGCCCTACCCCAGGGGTCATGATTTGAACATTTAGAATCTACATTACCCAAGAATGCTTCCACATAAGTTTCAGCTTTTCTAGCCCAGTGGTTCTTTAGAAGATTTTTACTACTTGTACATATTTAAATGTAAAACTTGGATTCCCTATTGTGGCCCCGCCCTACCCCTGGAGGTCATGATTTGAACAATTTAGAATCTACACTACCCCAGGATGTTTCTACATAATTTTCAGCTTTTCTGGCCCAGTGGTTCTTGAGAAGAAGATTTTTAAAGATTTTTTCTACAAATTTCAATGTAAAACTTGGATTCCCTATTGTGGCCCCACCCTACCCCGGGGGTCATGATTTGAACAATTTAGAATTTACACTACCCCAGGATGTTTCTACATAAGTTTCAGCTTTTCTGGCCCAGTGGTTCTTGAGAAGATTTTTAAAATTTTTTTCTACATATTTCAATGTAAAACTTGGATTCCCTATTGTGGCCCCGCCCTACCCCCAGGGGTCATGATTTGAACAATTTAGAATCTACACTACCCCAGGATCTTTCTACATAAGTTTCAGCTTTTCTGGCCCAGCGGTTCTTGAGAAAAAGATTTTTAAAGATTTTTTCTACATATTTTAATGTAAAACTTGGATTTCCTACTGTGGCCCCGCCCTACCCCCGGGGGTCATGATTTGAACAATTTAGAATCTACACTTCCCCAGGATGTTTCTAATTAAGTTTCAGCTTTTCTGGCCCAGTGGTTCTTGAGAAGAAGATTTTTAAATTTTTTTTCTACATATTTCAATGTAAAACTTGGATTTACTATTGTGGCCCCGCCCTACCCCCAGGGGTCATGATTTGAACAATTTAGAATCTACACTACTCCAGGATGTTTCTACATAAGTTTCAGCTTTTCCAGCCCAGTGGTTCTTGAGAAGAAGATTTTTAAAGATTTTTTCTACATATTTTAATGTAAAACTTGGATTTACTATTGTGGCCCCGCCCTACCTCCGGGGGTCATGATTTGAACAATTTAGAATCTACACTTCCCCAGGATGCTTCCACATAAGTTTCAGCCTTATTGGCCCAGTGGTTCTTGAGAAGAAGATTTTTTAATGACCCACCCAATTTTTGTCTTTTCTTGATTATCTCCCCTTTGAAGGGGGCTTGGCCCTTCATTTTAACAATTTAAACTCCCCTTCACCCAAGGATACTTTGTACCAAGTTTGATTAAAATTGGCCCAGTGGTTCTTGAGAAGAAGTTGAAAATGTGAAAAGTTTACAAACCGACGGACAGACAGACGGACGGACGGACGACGGACAACGGGTGATCAGAATAGCTCACTTGAGCTTTCAGCTCAGGTGAGCTAAAAATCAAGGGACGGTAGGTCGGGAATTTTTTTTTTTTTTTTTGCTTATGAATAATGGGGTCAAACATCATTACAAAGAAATAAATTTTAAACCAGAAATGGATAATTCCTGAATGTATTGTATTAGAAGTATGTTTCCGATGATCGATTATGAAAAATTATAATCAATCATCGGAATCGGTTGCATTTTTTCGTCGACAATCGATGTTTTCTGATTATCGGTACAACACTATTAAATACACTTGTTAAAATCAATGTAATTGTAATTGCAAGTAATTGACAAAATTATCAGTGTATTTGAAAGTATTTAATTACATTTCAAAGTAATTGACCCCAACCCTGATTTACAGGTCACTCTTAACACACATATTCCTAGAAATCAGTGCTCACCAATTCATTACAGTGTCATTGCATTCAATTCAAAGAAAGGCCAATAAACTTAACACCAACCACTACAAGTGAGGATGAATGACTTAACACCTACCACTACTACTGAGGATGAATGAATCAACACTTACCACTACTACTGAGGATGAATGGCTGTGTTGGGTGGACTGCTAAACTTCTGATGTAGTCAGAGTGAGCTTCAAACTGATGGACTCGCTCCAGGGTATTGTAGTTAAACACTCGAATCTGCATGTCATCCTGTCAGAGATCAAAAAGAGAATTCAATCACTGAGTGTACTACTTCAATGAAATATTGTAACTGAAAAAAAATATCAACAGGTATAATAATGAGAAGCAAACTCACTCACCGAGCCTGTTATGACCCAGTTTTTTCTGGGGACAAATCTTGAACTCCTGACAGGCAAGTCACACACCTCAAAAGATTTGATGAGTTGCTGAAATTAAAATCAAATATTGCTGTTAATATTCTGATAACATGTCACATAAAAAAAGGATAAAATTCAAAGCACTATGACTATTTAATCATGTTAATAAAGAAGATTGTTACTGAAAGATTCATAAATAAATTATAAAATTTCATCCTTGTGGATAGAGGAAATTCATTTACAAACCTAAAATAGTTGTAATGGAAAGGAAAGCTAAGGATAAGCATTGAAGCAGCATACTTTCAGAACTTCATAGACACAATTCTAACCCATTGCATTAGAACTTGTTTAATACGAACAGTGATATTTGGAATTTAAGGATGTAGTGAAGTTTTTTGGTATTCACGGCAAAATTGTTACCAATCCTTTGCAAAAATTTTATGGTAATAATGATCTCTGGTATAACTTATATAAATAACAGATATATAGCAAACTAATTTTGTACACCACAGAGGTTTAAAATAATGAAATTTACATTGTTTATAGCAAGTTCTTAAGATTTCAAAGTATTCAATATGGAACTAACATTACTGAAATGCAATTCACCTGAAAACTTTTGTACCCCAAGGTAATATTGAATATAATTCTTCCCTGAACATTTTCGGTAGTTATACTTAAAAGAAAACATGTATACATTGCAAATTCAATATATTTAACAAATGTGTTATACAGATATTATAATTATGAATTACAGAAATAGCAAGTAAATTCATAGGTCCTCAAAACTTTCCTATAACCAAGTTATACTATACCTGTGTAACACGATTAATTATTTTATAGAATTGACGAATATGTGTGGATAATATTGGGAGATCTACACACTAAAACACCAAAGCAGGTTGGGACAGGAAAGCCATGCAATTGACTGACTGAAGCATTCAGTTTCAAATATGAACAAACACAATATGAACCCTCAGATTACTTACTTACAAAAATTATGTGAAGAAATGTTGACATGTAATACATTCAATGATGAAGAAAAACTTGTAATATTTTAATGCAATTTTCACCGTTTCATATTACCCAAAACCAAGTTCCAAAACATGCATTTTGTTTACAACCTAACTAAACAATGTGCAGTTCCAGTCATCAAAAGGACATGCAGTAAAATAATTTTTGTTACCTGGGACTCATGATTCCAGACATGGACATTTCCATTATATAAACTAGCTAACATCCACGGTTCAGATGGGTGTAAGTCGACACATTTAACTCGGTCAGATCGGGCCGACAATTTTCGTTTGATATCAAGTCGAAGAGGCTGAAAGGAAATGAAAATGAAATAATTTTTACCTGTGACTCAATATTCCAAATATGAACTTGCCCATTGAATAGACTGGCAAGCATCCATGGTTCTTTTGGATGCAGTTCACTACTTTTAACTCTGTCTGAGCGTGCTGAAAGAACTCGTTTTACACCTAGTCGGAGCGGCTGAAAGTCACATGGCAGTTAAAATACCACATTTAAAACTTCGTAGAAATTGCCAACAATGGCATGTTTGATATAAAAAAGGCTTCCAAAAATATTCTCTTCCATATACTAAAATTTAAAAGATAGGATTCTTCAATACACATCTATTCATATCACAACTGGTAGCATGTACCGGCATATATCCTGAGTAGGACTGCGTGTCTTACTTAAGTTACTTTCTACATGTTCTATAAGCTACTACTTCTTACTCAGATTAAGTATTCATGTAACAAAATTATACAATTAAAGTTGCAATACGGAGTATATTTTTAAATCAATATGCTCCCAAAAGAAATCGTAAAACTTAACATCTGAAATGTTGTGTTTACAGAGAATTAACTCATTCAGATCAACTGTGTAATCTCACAAGTAAAATGTACAAACGAAAGATAAAAATGATCTTAAAGTTAATTTACAAAACAATATCAAAATACTGGAGAATATACCATTTTTGACGTTCAGCCGGCTTCGACTTCCCAAAATATAAATGTTGTTCCACAATACGTGGCCTGGGTTAATGCGCATGTGGAACCGGAAGATGTAAAACCGGAAAATACTTTTTGTTTATAAATGGCCGCCAAACATGCACAGACAGAATAAGAATGCTTTTTCATAATGTTTCCGTGATGCACAGTTATTTTGACCGTTAACAGTTTTGTTTATCTGTTTAATGATTTAAAATTAAAATTTAATTTCACTGTCTGTTGGCTGGATTAAGTGAGTTAACAATTTAAACGTGTCATTTTTTGTTAAACTACGACAATGCGGATAAGTGGTATTGTTCCTGCAAGATTCCTCACCATCGTCGCTCATGTCATCATTCTCATTATTCTTTTCTGGGCAAAGGTATTTTATTTTTATTGAGTTTTGTGAATTTGTTAAAATCTACGTAGTTAATATGTGAAAAAATAGATATGTCCAGTAGGATAACTTTTTAACTCACTGAGCTGAAAGCTCAAGTAGGCTTTTTTTATCAACCGTCGTCCGTCCGTCTGTAAACTTTCCACACATCTTCTTCTCAATAACCACTGGGCCAATTTTAGCCAAAGTTGGTAGAAAGCATCCTTGGGTGAAGGGAAGGTTTTAAAATTGTTAAAATGAAAGGCCAAACCCTCTAACTAGGGGAGATAATCCACAAAAGTTAAAAATAGGTTGGGATCATTAAAAAATCTTCTTCTCAAGAACGACTGGGTCAGAAAAGCTGAAACTCATGTGGAACCTTCCTGAGGTAGTGTAGATTTTAAATTGCTCAAACCATGCCCCCCCCCCCCCCCCCCCACCACCACCACCACCCCCACCCCCCGGGTTCTGATGGAGCCACAATAGGGAACCAAATTTTTATTTGAAATATTTGGAAAAAAATTCTTTAAAATCTCTTCTCAAGAACCACAGGGTCAGAAAAGCTGAAACTCATGTGGAACCTTTCTGAGGTAGTGTAGTTTTTTAAAAATTGCTCAAACCATTTTGGTACTGCTAAAGAGCTTGATAAATGTTGAAACACAAACTGTTGCACTGGTTGACAAACCGTGTTATTTAAGTTTTATTGGTTTATAACAGAATTTACAAAATTAACTTCAATGCCTGGGCATTGATCCAATTCAATTTTTTTCAGTAAACCCAGTACTTACAATACCCCCTTAATTGCATATGATTGCCCAAAGCCTAATAGGCTCACTTTATCTATAAAATGGCCCTGCCCATACACCAATTAATTGACTAAGACCCAATGTCCCATTTCAAACATCAATATAAATAGAGATGGTTTCATTGGTTATGGTTTCATTTCCCATAAAAAATGTTACCCATGAGAGTCCAGATATTAGGAAATAGGCTTTGTGAAATTGCAATGTTGTTGAATTTTGCAGAAAACAGGTGTATTTGACTATTTCAACAAAGAAATAAAATATGAGCCCACTCGTCAATCCAAAAAAATAAAACATGTATTATAATCTTCAGAAACAGTTCTTTCATTATATAATTGCACATTTTGGATTAGAGGTTGGACTCTATGCAAAATATGGAAGAACAGCTTAAACTTTTGGTCAATTTTGAAGATATTTTCAGGATTTGAGAATAATGACACAATTTATGATATCATCAGATCATAATACATGGACTAGCAGGAAAATTACATTTTTTAATAGATATGCAGTCATCAAGGGTCCAAGATAAATTTAAATTATTTTCAACTAAAATGAGAATTTTGATTTTCACAAATTCACAGGGCTAAAAAGAGCCCTAAGTAAACCTTGCTCCCTTGTTTTTACAATAACTAAACAAAACTTTACAAATGAAAAAGAACTCACTTTGCTTTGTTTTAGTTGAAATTATGGAGATTTGAAGATAGATTTAACTCTCTTTGTTAAGAATTTGTACTTTTTAGACTCCATAATGGAAATGCAATTAAAATATAACATCTTGTGTGAATGTGACATACCACAGTCTAGACTGAGTGTGTCCAACCTTTAACCTTCCAAATGTGTCATGTAGTTTGAAAGGGCAGTCTAAGTTAAAGTTCATGTAAGGGTTTTTGATGGTATTTACAGTAATAAATACAGACCTGCCCTAGCTTCATAGTAGCACCATCAAATGTACAGTGTACATGTATTATAATTAACTTTTTTTTTTTTATTCAAATATATCTTTGACCATGTTTTCCTCTAGGAGGGAGGACACTCTTATTTGCTCAGAGAAAGCATTCTGAAAGCATTGCTTAAACAATGGTAGCCTCCTTCAGGCAAGTGTAATTTGGTTTACCTCAAAATCTATAAAGGCCATAATTTTGTCAAAAACCATAAAATTGTCTGCAAAATCATGAAAATGCAAACTTGATCTGATACTCATTAAAGGTGCTTAGACACAGATTTGAACATAATATTTTCTCAAATTTTCTGTATAATATTACGACTTATATATTGCAATAGCATTTAACACGAAAATATAATTAAAAACCTATTTTATCTGGAAATTATTGGAACTACGAATTCCGGGACACGTTTGATTAACACATCTTTGCACTTACACAAATTTTAACTTTATCGTTAATATTTAAGAAAAGAAGCGATTTTGTTATGTATTAATGAAAAATATTACATCTATAATCCAGAAAATTCAGAGTAGAAATGTTCGCAAAACCAACATATCAGTATTGTCAGTCCGTGCTCTCTGATGTGTACAGAGTTTAACACATTGAACACACCTGTGAAACATAAACTGTTTTTGTAAACTGGGCACGAGCTCTGTTATTGTTAATGTTTACGATTCACCGGGTGTGTTCAATTGTTAAACTCTGCACACACCACTGAGCATGGACTTACAGTACTGTGTGTGGGTTTTGCTTTCGAACATTTCTACTCTGAATTTTCTGGGTTATAGTTTTAATATTTTTCATTAATACACAACAAAATTGCCACTTTTCTTAAGTATTAAGAAAAAAAATTAAAATATGTGAAAGCGCAAGAATGTGTCAATCCAACGGGTCCAGAAATTCAAAGTTTTAATAACTTCGAGAAGAAATAAGATTTTTATTATATTTTAGTGTGAAATGCTATAGCAACATATAAGTCATGAAATTATACGGAAAATTTGAGAAAATATTAACTTCAAATCTGTGTCCAAGCACCTTTAAGGTACACTCACATACTAAAAGTCAGCTAAATATCTGTAAATGTTTAGAAAATAGGCAGAAAAAAATAAGTGTGATAGACAGAAGGACAAACAGATTGACAGATGGATGGACTGTCATCAGTAGGGGACTGGTAAGATTGAGTAGTACACAAACTGTAAAACATCCCCCCCCCCCCCCACTGTCTTCACTTTACTTATGCACACCTGTAAAGGTGAAATTAAACTAAATCCACCACCTGTTACCTAATACATTTATCAGCACTCACTTTTATTTTTACTTTCAGGATGATAACATCAAACAGTGCCTCCCTACAACATACACTCAATCAGAGTATGACTCTAAAGACTTAGAGTAAGTCAAACTTCACATTTATGCATTCTTTCTAGAAAAAAAATTAATTTTAAACATTATTATGCTTAAAATATACACACATGAAATGCATTATTATTCATTATTCCATCATACAGCATTTGCTGGTTTTGAACTGGGTATTTACTATATTACCTGGTATGTGTTTTTATTACAACTGACATGCATTGTTTTTAAAATTTTGGCATATGGATTTTAAAGCTAATTTAAAAAAGTAATGCTGTCATTACAGGATGATCATTGGCCTTTCTGTGGGACTGGGTCTTATGCTGATTGAGTTGATTGGTTTTGTTGGTGGAATCTCAATGTTCATGCCATTCCAGAGTATGCTTTGTATCCTTTTTTCATTGGGAAAAAAAAAGTTTTGCAAGTGCATGTCCAGGAATGAAGATATTTTTTAAAAAATTCACCAAAAAAATTAAGTAATGAAGTAGAATAATAGAGCAAATTTTCAGTAATGTAAATTTCATTTCGCAGAACTGGAATATTATCTGTTATAACTATTTGTAGGCCACAAACAAGCTCCACAATTAAAATCATTGTAGATAATTTGTTTACCCTATAATAAACTAATTCAAACTTTCACAATGCAGGAGACAGCAATGGTTGTACCAATTAATTGCTTTGCTTCAACAAATATTTGTCCTTGACCTTAGTTAGCTATTTCGGCTCACTGTGGTGCTTGTGTGTCATTAGCATATTTCATTTTGTGGGAAATGCCTTGTCACAGATACTGGTATATATTTGGATTTTCTACAGCATTTCCAGCTTTGACTGAAATCATCACTTTTATTCAGATAGTGTGTTTAAGAAATGGACAACTCTGAAGAAAGTTCTTTGTAATGTTAGTGCTACAGTAGTATTAAACCTATTACAATGTTTGACCTTGACCTGTATCAGCTGTTGCCTGTCACGCGGGGGCTGTTGTGGCCCTGTTCTTCTTCCTGTTTGAGTTCTGGCCCTGTACGTATTATTGGTACATATTCGGATTCTGCAGTGCCTTTCCTGCAGTGACAGAAATCCTGGTGTGGCTAGGAGTCGGATTGTTTAGAAAAGGACTGTAATACAATTATAGTTACATCGTGTTTAAGGAAATAGGTTGTCATCCTTACAGAATAGAATATATGAAACTCTGAAGATTTGACTTTTATATCATGTGATTGTTTAACATGATTACCTGTTTCATTACATCAGAGTAAGTGTGTTTTCCTGTGTGATAGACTCATTTTTTAACAGTTTCTTTAATGACAATTAAATATTTCATTATATAATTTCAAGTACATATCAATACAGGTTGTATATTGGTGAAAGATTTTGAAATGCTAGAGATGTAAGTTATATGTCATACATTTTTGATCTGAACAGTATGTGAAGGTGCACAAATGTGTACCAGTATTTAGATGTATTTTAGTTAAAATAATATATGGAGTAAATTGAAACAAACAATAAAGTGTTTTGTGTTTTGAGTTTGTCAGATAAAAATGACATTTGTTAAACCTTTAGAAATTGTTTCCTATGTGAATATATACTTAAAAAGTCTAACATTTCCAATGTTTAATTGAGCAGTCCAATATAATCAATGTTGGACCACTGGGTGAGATGTTGGACCTGTCAATTAACATTATATTCATAAGATCAGTCATATCTTATTGGAATTTACTGAGTTAAATCTGCAGTGGGGGTAAAGGAAATTTACATCATCTAAGCCAGAGCAATATACATCATAATGAAAAGTAAAATGTATAACAAAACATTTATTGACCGTGTTTTCAAGTAAAATGTGTTTTTGTCTGACCTCTTAAACCAAACTGTTTGCTAATGGCCTCAGGCAAACTTTTGATTCCTGGGTCCAACAAAACACTTTGTCTTAAAACCCAGTCAATAAATGTAATAATAAATGAAATTTATCAGTTTCCTTGATTTGACATCTCCATGATAAGGTAAACAAAATCTTAATATTCCATTTGTTAGCAGTTTCTCAAACTTTTGAGTTTCAATGGAGTATTTGGCATAATTGTGACAGGCACTTGCAGTTTTTAGCTCACCTGAACCAAATCAAATCATAGTCAAAAGGTAGGGTGGAGGAACCATTGAGAATCAAAGTTTTACATGAAATAAATAGAAAAAAATTTTTTTTTTTAATCTTTTCAAAGAGAATGTGGATTCAAGTTTGGTTAAGTTATGACCCCTTGGGACTAGGATATCCCAGAAATGGGATCAAGGTTTTCTATGGGAATATAGAGAGAAAAATCTTTTAAAAAGATCAGGGCCAAAGTGGGCTCCAGTGTGGCCCATGAGCCTCTTGTGTTTTTAATATTAACTCTATGTATATACTTTCAGTTTCATTTCAAAGTTAAGTCTAAAGATTTTAATTATGTACATGTAAATAATTAGGGTAAAAATAATTAATACATGTTTAGAGTCCTTGTTCATTTGTTTCCTCATATCAAATTGCATCATAATTATGATGTCTCGGTCAATGAGAGCACTAGAAAATTATTAGATTTATAAACTAAAGATTTGAGGAAATTTATTATAAGGACTCTCAAATTTGTTATTTAAATGTACATATGTACATGTATCTGATATTCATTTTTTCTTATTAAAACTCATGTTTTCTTATGAATTTCCTAATTTTTTAATGGGGTATCATTCATAATTACATGTATATCAGGTAAATAAAAAAAGCAATGAATTATCATAATCTTAAGAGTTACTGATATAATTGAAAATACAATGGAGGATTTTTAATTAGAAATTAGGATTCTTAATAATTCTTTCCTAGATATTTTGTATTACTAAGTATTTAAAGCAATTTTTTTATCATTCAGATATATTTTGCCAAAAATACCTTTACAATAAAAAAAATTATGTCAGCTAATACAGTGTATCACCCCATGATAAAAATGAGATAAAATACATCACTGGTTTGGGGGATTGAATCCTGATCAGTAAAAATCCTGATACCTGGTATTGTAATAGATGAGACTGGCATGCTACATTGTAGATATTATTCTTGAAGAAATAAAAAACCCTCATGCTTTGAAAATTAACTTTTAACAACAAGAGGCCCAAGGGCCTTTTAGTCACTTGGGTATAATACAATACTGTAAAGGATCCACAGAAGTATAAAATAAAATAAACTAATTGATTAAGCTATGATGCCCAAAAGCAAGGTATATAGGATGATCAGGAATCAACAAAATAATTAGTGTAGTACTCCATTACAAATCCTAGATAGCTCTATTTACTTGCCCCCATTTGTCACTATGTAAAGTGTAAAAAAAAAAAGGTGCTTGAGGACTATTAGTTTACCCATCTCATTCCCATTTAAAACCGTGAAAGTACTTTTTGTATTAAATGTCATAAATATTCTTGTATAACTTTCCAATTCAATTGCCCTTTCAATTACATTACTTACAGTGATTAATTATCATAGGTGAGTAGCAAAGGGGAATAACTTCTCTTTGTAGAAAACAAATTAATAGGGCTCTGCCCTGCACACCAGAACACTTGACCAAGTGGTCTATGATTTCATAAATCTGGTAAAAATACCCTTGCTTATTACATCTTTGTACTCTATTTGCCTCCTAGATGACCAGGAGAAGAGAAGAAGATTTTCAAAGAAATAATGCATTTTCACTATATAATCAACAGAGCCCCACCCTAACACCAAAGCCCTTGACCCAGGGGCCATGAAATGCACAATTTTCGAAGAAGTACACTTGCTCACCATAACTATGCACTTAGTTATCTGAATACTGAGGAGCAGAGAAGAAAATTTTCAAAGATAAAATGCATTTTTATTATATCATCAATAGATCCCCATCCTAACACCAGAACCCCTGACCCAGGGGCCATGAAATTCACAATTTTGGAGGAGACATTCTTGCTCATCATAACTTTGCACTTAGTTTGTTTGCTTAATATCCAAAAGCAGAGAAGCTTTTCAAATATATAATGCATTTTAAGTATATATTCAACAGTGTCCCGCCCTTACACCAAAACCCCTAACCCAGGGTCTTTGATTTTCATTTTATTGGAAAAGGCACCGTTGCTCATCATAACCATGCAATTAGTTTGTCTGCTAAAGACCCAGAAGCACCGAAAACGATATTTAAAGAATTCATGCATTTTCACCATCTGATTTATAGATTCTCAGGTGCGGATCCAGGAATTTTTTCCGGGGGGGGGGGGGGGAGGGGGGGTCAACCCCAGTCAAAAAAGATCCAACCAGAAAATTCTTGACAAGCAAAAAGAAAAAAAAACAAATTAAAAAAAAACTAAACTCTTTTCCCAAACGTGAAAATCCTATTCGTGGGAGGAGGGGGGGGGGTAGTCGTTTACTTCTAAAGCTTCATACCTATGACTTTTCATACCAACTTTACACAGATTCGCGTTTTCGGGGGGGGGGGGGGGAGGAGGGGGGTCCAAGGTCACTTTTAGTTGGTTTAGTATATATTTTTAATAACTCTGCAAATTCCAAGGGGGGGGGTCCGGACCCCCCAACGACCCCTCCCCCCTCTAGATCCGCGCATGGATTCCTGTCCTAACGCCAGATCCCCTTATCCAGGGGCCATAAAATTCACAATTTTGGAAGAGGTACCCTTACTTATCATAACAATGCACTTAGTTTGTATGCTAGATACCCAGGAGCAGAGATGAAGATTTTCAAAGAATTAATGCATTTTCACTATATAATCTATAGTCTCGTCCTAGTACCAGAAATCTTGATGGCCGGGCCACAAATTTAACAATTTTGGAAGAGGCACTCTTGTTCATCATAATCATGCACCTACTTTATCTGCTAAATGTACGGGGGGGGGGGGGGGGGATATAATTGATGCATTTGCACTATATGATTATTTGAGTCCCGCACTAACTCCTGAACCCGACCCTGGGTCTATGAATTTCACAATTATGGTAGTGGGATCAATGCTTATTACAATATGAAAACAGTTCAACTGCTTGATGTCCAGGAGTAAAGAAGAAGATTTATAAAGATTGCATTAAGCTCGATGGTTTTAACCCCACTTTTCTCCCCCCCCCCCCCTTCCACCGAAATTCATAATTTTTGTTCCCCTTTACTCATAAATGTTTTATTCCGAAATTGGTTAAAATTGGTTCAGTGGTTCAAGAGAAGAAGATGAAAATGTTCAAATGTAAATGGACGACACACGACGAACGACGAGGACAAAAACAAATAGCACTGAGTCACGTGAGTGAAGAATGGAGTGACCTGCTCATACATTGTACAGAAAAATTATGTTAAAGTATACAAAATCATGGCAGATTTGGCTTTCATTCCTCGCTGTAAGCATACATACAAACTCTTTTTTCTATTGACAAATTATTTCAATACTTGTGAGATTGTTACATACATGCACATGTTTAACTCAATAAAATTTCATGAAATTTGATATGGTTGAAATAAAATTTTGACTTTATTATTTGCATGCCAAATCATGGGCATTGTGCACCCAAGTTCTTTGGTAATTTATATTTTGCTGTTTATAGTAATCAATTAGCCCTCTACCAAATTTGTGAATTTCATGACCCGAGGACCCAGGGTTTCATCCTTCTTGTGGGGGGGGGGGGGGGGGCTTGGTTGAATACCGGTATGTATTGAAAATACATCTTTGAAAATCTTCTTTACTCATCATGTCCATTTAACACGTGAACTGTTTTCATGATTTTAAGGACATACGCAAAGTACCTTACCTAATGATAATTTTTCAAGATATTCTTAATTTAAGATTATAGTGCCATCAGATGTTCATCGACAAAAAATCAGCATGCATTGCCAGTGGTTTAAAAAGATATCAATGGATGAAAATTCTTGTATAATTCAAAGAAAAATATACGAAAATTACTAAACATATATTCTAGATGTTTTGTTTATCCAAACTTGTTTAAGAAGTGTACATCAGAATATATAGACATTAAAATGTAGCACACAGTTCCTTTAAGTATTGGAACTCTTCAACTCCAGGGAAAAAGACAATGAAGTTCAAACTACGTTGCGTATTGAACTCCAAAGCTGTCATTTTCGCACATGTCTACTCTCTAACAAAAGAAAATTCATGTCTCTAGGATACATATCGCAGGAAGGGGCTACGTTGGTCTTAGATTGAAAATTCATATTTTTCTGAAAATCTTATTTAAATTAAACCTGGACATTTAGCGAGCAAATTCTAAGCAGTCTGCTGTGTGCATGATGGTAATAAGCTTTGAGCCAGACTTATACAAAACTTATTATAGGGCGGAGGGAGGAGGGAGCTACACAATAACACCCCCAGTTAAAGTTGTTCACCACAATATAGACCGCCTTTTTTAATTTTAACTCTGTACTATACAAAAAAAAATATTATATGGATATAAGTTCTGTTAAAATCGGACAAAAATTGAAGGTAGCCCTCTGGAAGAATTTCACAACAAACTATTTTAAGTGATCAGTGCAATATCGTTTCATTGATATATACAAAATTATGTATCTTATTGTAGCTTATTTGCATAGCAAAAACACAATCCGATGCACAGGATTATTTATCTAAGTATAATCTGTTTATCAAGTTTTATCGAAATCAGAAAAAAACTGTAGGAGCATTATATAGCATTTGAAAATTGTTTACAGATAAACATACGAACGACGGACACCTTGCCATCGCATAAGCTCATCTGGTCTCTGACCAGCAGAGCTAAAAGAGAGAGTGAGAGAAAGAAAAACATACATGTTACATTCACTCGGCGATACAATTACCGCGATTAGGCATGTGATATATTTTGTACTGGTTTTGGATATTTCATGTTAGGCCGAATTTTGACTGACGTTTTTAAATACAAATTGTTGGGGTCATATTTCCATACTAAACTGACTGATTTATCGGTTACCCAATTAAGTCAAAGGGCTAACGGCAGGTGTGATCAGTCAACAAGGAATGCTTGCTCATTCATGGCACCTGATCCCACCTCTGAAGTTTTTCAGGGGTCCGTGATTGCTTCGCTCTCAATTTGTATTGTTTATTTGGACTTTTGTGCTTGTGCATATGATTATATTCTTTGTCAATTATCTTCATATTTCATATGTTTCTTTTACAAGCACAAACGCTTTTTTGGACATCTCCCCTCTTCTTTCTAATTCACACAAAAACTAGGGGATTTTTCATCACTTTTGTTTATATATTATTCTGGCACAAATTTATGATCTTTTTGTGATTTTAAATTTAATGCTTATCACTAAGGTACAAGATATACAAGATGCAAGATATTTTATTTTCCAATCAATATGGTCAAAGGCATTGTAACATATAAAAGATAAAAGTACAATTTAACAAACAATAATAATGCATATTTATATAATAGAATCATTGTAAATAGTGTCCATGATCCTTTGATAGAACATACATGTAATTTAGTAAGTGTTACTGTATATATGTATTTGTTCTTTTATATTTAAAAAATAAATTTCCAAAAAAAAAAAAACCGTGCATGTCCATGTGATGATACATGTATTTATTGTTTAAACATGAGTTCTTTTACTGTTTTCAAATACCTCTCAGCTATACAGAAGAATAGGAGCAATATTATAATCAAATAAATGAAGATTAATATTTTCCTGACAATTTGGATTAACTTTCCTGTAATCTTGAGCATGCTTTCACAGACTTTTTATATAGTTCATTTTAAGCAAATGTAAACCTGGTAATATAGACCCTGAATTACAGAAGGAAACACCAAGATATTTGTATTGCTGAAAACTCATTCAACTTATTTCAAACAAAAAAAAATCTGACAATTTTTTCCCCAGGATTGTTGATTAATTTGATTGTTTTGTAGGAAAATCTAATCAGTATTCCCGTTGAATATATACTTTTATAGATTCCAATGCCTCAAGATTTTCTGGAGAATACCTAATCTCTCTTCAGGACAGGAATAAGTTTCCTTTGTTTTACGTGTATTTTGAATATGATTTGGACAACAATTTGAATCAATCGAATTTTCTGATTTCTATTTCCTAGATGAGTCTCCTTCTTTAAGGTCATTGGTAAGTTTCCAATTCTATTTTTTGGATTAATTTTCTTCATGTATGTTTCCCAGTTGGATCATTATTGACCTCTGAAACTCTTTATGTGCTTTTTTTCTATAGCTTTCGTATATCTCTATATAATTTATGGTAGCGGTTTCTTACTTGTGGATATTTATATATATACTAATATATGTGGAATACTTTGACAGTATTCATGGCCGTAGGAACCGGGGGGAGGCGGTGGGTGGTGGGTTATTTTGCCGATATATAGAATACTATAGAAAACATAGCTACTATATGCTTGTGTCCCTTGATGACCTTGCTTTTTATTGGGGGGGGGGGCGCTTGTCAAGGAATATTTGGAAGTTGATAGTGCCCCCTCCGGAGACATATTATATGTCTCAGCCCCCTCCAAACTGAAAATGTATGCCCCCCCCCCCCCAAACTGAAAGTCGGCTTCCTACGGGCCTAGTTGGTATTCTACCATAACTAATCAAATGCATGTGTTGCTTATGTAATTTACTGGATAATTAAGTGGCTGAAATATAAATATAGACAATTAATATAAAGGAATCAAAATGGATTAATAAATACACATTTTTCGGTCGTCACAAGGTTTCTGAAAAGGTGGGTACATGTGTAAAGGTCTCAGTGAGAAATAAGGGATCCATCTCCTAGCTCTAAGTCAGATAATTTCTTATATGGATGGATGAAGCCTTTTGGTGGGTCTGGTTCATTTTGGAAGGCTTTTAAAAAAATTAATGAATAATTAATATTGATTGAACAAATTATAGCAGATATTTTTATTTTAATGGGGGTGCAATCGCAACCCCCCCTTCTGACGGCATTGTCGGTCTTTTTATAGATATTCCTAACAGGCATTCCTTCTAAGAGGGTAATATTTTTTTGTAATAATAAAATTATACGACGTCAAGTGCCTGTGAAGTAGCGTTATCCGGAACTGTTACGTTTACGAATAAACTTTCATGCCATTAACTTCATTTCCGGTAGTGTCATGGATGTCAAAACCTGAAGGCCAAACCATGCAGAAGTCGTATTTTCTTGCAAAACCGAACAAAAATTGGATAGTTACAAATTGCCTGTACGTTTCAAACATTGACACCTTGTAAAATGACCACACCAAGGGAGAGGGCGAAAAGCTCTGTCGTCAATCTGGTGTCGAGCATTGAGAAGAAGGGCATTCGTGTGGTAGCTGTTGATTTCGATCAAACATTGATAAAAATTCACTCAGGTGGGGTATGGAAGGACTCAACGGACAATCTTGCCAAGCACATTCGACCCTGTATGAAGGACCTGTTGGAAGTTTCACTGCAGCGGGAGCTTATAGTGTGTATCGTCACTTTCCACTCGCAGCCTTGGGTCATTCGAGAACTGTTGAAGAAGCTACTAAAAAAGTAATAACATGTATCTTTACTAGGCATGTGGTGGAGAAAAATAATGCAGAAAACTGTTTGTGCTTTGCTTGAGCAGTTTTAGGTTAATATCTTTTACGGTGTGACCATTGGGGCGAGCGCAGTTATCAGGGACCTATATATATTATATTAGTATATAGGTCCCTGGTAGATGTAATTATTTTTTGTTTCTTTTAAGATCTCTGCAAAGAAAGAAAAGTAAACGTATCTCTCGGTAATGAATAATTATCCTTGGTCTTTTGTATGTTTTGTAAGAATTTCGCATGGAACCCTGGTAGCGAAGGAATTCTGGGAATGTTGCACCAGAAAATTTGCCTGACGTATGTACAGATTTCATTCCGAATTTCCTCTGTTCTTACACATTAGTCTATTGAGCTCGCTGCACTCGCTATTATATAGATGTCGAGATTGAAAAAATTTTTGTGATTGTACCTTATTGTGGGCAGAAGGGTTCCATATATGGCAAGAAATTGGTACTGTGTTTTTACGTTATACTTTTGTACCCTAGGGTACATCCCCTATTTATCCTTTAGCAATAAGGTTACAAAAAGGTAACAGTATAAAACCATTGAAAAACGAAAGTAGAAAATTTCTGAAGGACTGTTAACGTGACCTGGTTACAGTGGGTACAGAAGTTACTTAATAATACAAATTCTACTTTTATTATTATATATATTATCTGGATTCTGAATGAATATTTATTGCACTGTATAAACTCTTTGCTGCAATTGCAGGGATGCAGAAAAAATATACGTACAAGCCAACACGATAGAATTCAGAGAGAGACATAACTATGAGTACTTAGGGAAGGAAGCTCACATCACAGCAGTATTGACAGAGGTCTACAATAGACAAAAAGTCATCATAAAACCCCAGGAAATCATCTTATTTGATGATGATCAAGACAATGTGGATACAGCTCTCAAATTCGGACATTGGGCATTTCAGATTAAGGATGATGTATCATATAATACATTTGAGGAATACTCACAGATGTTAGCTTTACAAGATAAACCTCCAGGAATGAAAGGAAAAAAGAAATAAAGATCCTGATGTTTTATGGGAAAGTTAAATTCATCGTATTAAGTGTATTTTATTGTCCCACCCTTTTTATCCATGTTAACTGTTACCATGGTTACAGGTTGTACTTGCTGTGTCACATCTGCTGTATATGTTATCTCTTAACTGCATTTTGCTGAAACCAAAACAATTATAATACCACTATGTTTATGTAATATGATAGTTTTCAATTTTTTTTTTTTCAAAACTGACGTCTAAAAATCAACCTTATTATATATTGACATATTCTTGTTTTACTAGGAATATTCTCCACTTGTTATTTGTTGTAATCATTGAGTGTTATTGATGTAAAAGTCTAATAACTTACTACCGGTGAAGTTTAAAATTATCTCTCTCTCTCTCTTCATGTTAAATTTTTCAGTCTGGTTTACTTAAATATCATAGAGTGTGCGACTCTAGAAAAATAAAATATTTATGATCTGAAAGCAGGGAACAGTGAAATCAAAAAAGAATATATATAAATCTATTTTAGGCAGAGTAATTAAAAAATGAAATTTATCGGGAAGTTATATCCATGTGTTAGATCACAGGTGTAAGGCAATGTATCAGAGCATTTAGTTAACAGGAGACATAAAAACTAAGGATCATTTTTTTTTTGTTTTAATTTTTTAAAGGAAGTGGAAATTGATCAGAATTAATACTTGAATATACATGTTTAAGTGTAACAGCCTTTTGACAGTTTATTATAAATCCATGTATCTAAAAATAAGTTTATTAGTCAACTTTTGAAAAGGAATTTACCACTCAAGTTTATGTATTCCCAACTAAAAACTGACATGACTGAAGTGACCTTTGGACACAGTATATCAAACAGGGAGCCCCAATATGTCAGAGATTGACAAATACCAGGAATATCTCATGTACTACCATGACAAATACCAGGGATATCTCGCATGCATCAGTCCCGTCAAGTACATAATTTATCATATATAAGGAAATTATTAAAACATCTGGGATTTTTTAAAATCATATTAAAAATGTTTTTCTAATCTAAAAATAAAATTATAAAATGTACATGTAGTGGAAGAAAACCATTCAGATATTATTTCATTTTGAAAACAGTAATATCTAAGTATTTTTAGGGTCAAAGGTTCTGTAAAACTTGTTTTTGTGCCAATGTTTTGTCTAGTCAAATAACTTGCTTACTGTAACACAACATACTGCTATCATTTATAATACACTTATGGAGGTATGTTTTTGTGTACATGACCACTAAATCTGATATTAGAGTTCTTTATAATCAGGAATTTTGTCATGCTGCAGTAGATAGGAAGTTGTAACATTTCTTCTTCCAAGAAAAAGTTAGATCTTCCCTTTAAATATAAAGTCTCAAAAGAAATAATTCATCTCTTCATTTTATCAACTTGTGTCACCATTTTTCATTTATGTATACATTTTCACTGAATTTAGATAATGCAATGAATCTCACATTACTGCAGTAGTGTGCAGTATGGATTAAAGTTGATATTCATAATGATATTATTGTGTGATGACTAACTATTTATACACAGATACATGTAAAAATGTATCAGTCTTAGAACCATATCGTTACCGGAGAAATGTTTGTAACAAAATCATTCCAAATCAGAGACACTTCTTTGAATCTGGTACAAGTCTTGTGAGTGTTTACCTGAACCTTTATGCTGGTTCTGACTGCTATTTTATTTGATGACGCGACTTTCTTCAGGTCAAAATCTTCTTTAATGATCATATTTCTGCTTTCCTTCATTTACATTGTATTATTTTATCAAATATTAAGGCATTTGGTTTGAGAGTGTTATAATTTTTTTTTTGAGGGCAGGAAAACTGTGTACATGTAGCAGAGGTGTATAACTTTACATACAAAGAGTTTTAATTGATGTGTGAATCTATAAAGTTGTAACAGAAGGTTGTTTTTTCCTACAGTTGATATTACTGTTTAAGATGTTAATGAGTATAAAATTATCCATAATGATTTTGTATTGCATTCTGTATCAGCCCTCTGTCACTCATATCAGAGTTGTCTCTCTTGACACAGAGGGCTGGTATGAAAAAAAAGTTAAAATTTACCTTGAAGTAATGTTTGAAGGTTTGAAAACTAATATTCTTGTAATTAAACTGCGATCAATTTTTTTAATGTGTATTGTGAAAAATTTAAATGAAAACATCAGTGACAATGGATATTTTTTAAATACATTGATTTAATTTCAAAATGACATAGAATATAATTAGGCAGATGTACTATCTTAAATCTAATTTTTCACTGTATGGATAGTGAAAAAAATTAGTACATCAATGAAACAAGTGATTAAAGATGTAATGGTTTTTTAATTCCATAATTCTTTGTTATTACTGGGTTGTTAAAAAATTCACATGATTCAAGCAAATTAACTCTCACATATCAGTACGTTGTTAGCCACACTGCTGATTTTGATGTAAATATCTGTTGTATGCTATTGTTTACTGTACCACTGGTTTATGTTTTGTGTGCCAAATTTTGGTTTATATCCAATACTGATATTCTCATACACTCCATACAAACCACATGACTGTCAAATCTATGTTGTAGTGCTAAGTTTACCGATTTACTGTAATAAAGGTCTCAGCTTTTGTTCATATCATGCTTCTTGATTTTTTTTACCCCCCCCCCTCCAGGCTTTAGGTAAAAACAACCTTTGCCCGTCCTTCTGTTTTTCTATTCCCCCATAGTTTGTTAATTAACAATCAGACAATGTCGGAAATGCCCTGGTAAGACGTAAAATAAATTCTACAGAAAAATTTGAAGAATATAAGATGCAAATCTGTGCCTATGACTCTTTCAAGTCATTTAATAAATGAAAGGTTTCTATTTTTTTTTTATAGGTGCTTGAACCAGAATTCCTTGAATATTGTTTGGCTTTTTGCGTCACCTGATTCATTCATGTGATGTTTTATCACTATCTATTTTTGTCTGTTGTTGGAACTTTTGTCGTATTAAAATATTTTGTATTTTTGGCCTCTTCTCTGGAACGGCTGAATCAAATTAAAACAATTTTGGTATATGGCACATCTATGAACTTGGGGGGGGGGGGGGGGACAAGAGTTCTTTTATGGTGTCTCCCTCCGTGGGGTAGGAGGAGTAGGGCCAAACCATAAAAATTAATGCAACCTTCAAAAACCTTCATCAAGCAGTAGAATTGTTGAAATGGTTACGATATTTAATAAGCCCACAACCAAAACTGTGAAATTTATTTTCCTAGCGTTCAAGCCCAATATAAGGCAAGTTAATCATATATTGGAAACATTTTAAACATTTGAAAAACTTCTTCTTTACTCCAGGCCCCGGGATCATGAAACATCTTTATTGTGATCCAAAATAAAAATACATGTGTTTTTAAATATTGCGTCATCAAAGTGCTGTTTTCTAGAAATATATGCAATAAGTTGACAATTTTAAAATAAACAACTTACAAGTGATCGGAAAATTCTTAAGCCTAAGTCCGTTTCATGATTTTGGGGCCAGGACATCTACATGTATAGAAGGCAAACTGTTTGCATGATTACGATGAGTAGGTGTTCGTCCACAAAGATTTTTAAGGCCCAGAACTCAGACTGTCCGGTGGGCTTAACTGGTCATAAGTTGAAAACTTTTTATACAAAATCTTTTAAAATCTTATTAATTTTTATGTCTGAAATTTAGCCAGAAGATTTATGCAAAATGGCAGTTAGCTATTGGGTGTTTGTAATCCCAACAGCTCGGACCTGAGGGTTGGGCTAAATTGAACATCTAATGAAAAGAAAGGACCTTCGTTCTGCTCCCATGTAGTTAAAAAAATCCAGGGAACAGATCTACATATAATTTTATTTAAATTTATTTTTGTGGAAAAAAAAAAACATTTCTTTGTATTTCTAACCGTTGTTTTTTGAGGAAATGAAACCAAAGTACAAAACACGATCTACGTCTCGTTTTCCCAGTTCGAGCTTTCCCATATGTACGAGAACTTTAATAATCCTGATATCACATTTAGCTCAGGGAATAAAAACCGTTTGGCGTTGTATGGTATCCATCGTCCAAAGGGCGAGGAAGCAATCATTTCTGAACACTATACTCATAAATTTCCTGATTAGATTTGCATTCTGTAACACATCTATCACACAGAATTTAGTTTTCATAATTACCCCTAGTGTTTCCCTTCATAGAAACACTGATTATAAATAAATAAATATATCCCCTACCACACTATATATATATATATATATATATATATATATATATATATATATATATATATATATATATATATATATATATATATATATATATATATATATATATATCGTTTTTTTAAAATTTTTTAAATAGAAATCTAGGTGATCCTGAAAATTCCTGTATATGCATCATTAACCGATATATCTTTTTTGGAAAAAGGTACGTTCCCCGCAAAATTATCTTTTTTCCATTCAAAAAATCATTTGATTTCAGATGAATGATTCGCACCTTACAGAATCCACCTGCAAGATGAATTAGATTAATTCAAAAGTATTTTTATTTTCTTAAAAAGAGCAAGATTTTTCTTTGTAATTTTATTCATAGATGTACATTTACAGGTATATTTATTCAGTGTATATGTACTTTGGTATATCACAACTACAATGGTATTCAATGCATGTACTAACAATCAACACCTAGTTCTGTCACCACTGTACATCATTAACAAGGACAGAGACATTTCAATGCAATGAAAAGTTCTCATGAGTTTACGATTCTCTCAAATGCAGAGATAAAGAGCAGACATTTGAATTTGTTTGAGGATCATACCTTATAAATATGACTGACTCCAAAACTGAATGTACAAAAACAATTTAAATGGCATAAAAATTCAAAGTGGTCAAAAATAACAAATTTTGTTCACTGCCCCTAATTTGCTAAAAAACAAAGAATGAATTCTTTCCCTCAGTTTGATCAAATGACATTCTTATAAATCGGAAAACTGCCTTGATATTCTACAGAATTTATGTAGCATAAAGACTGAATGATTCAGAAGAGGATTATATCATACAAATGAATTATCCACGCGTATGAATGAGCATGTTATGTTGGTAGACTGGGGATTACACAGCCGATACAGTCATATCACTCGCACACGAACACTCAAATGTAGTGATGTAAAACAATTACGATGAATATAAAAACATACAAAAAAAGTGAGTGATAGAAATATCTATGAATAAGTACAGCAAATAGCTCTTTTGCTGATCGTTCATATCTTAAATTTGTTTGTCCCCTTCTGTTAAATTTTCAACGTTTTCAATAATACAAACTGTACAAAATGCTTTAGTATTTTAGTGAAGGTTTCGTTATATAAAGAAAATTAAGAAATATGCACATAATACACTGTATATTTCATTAAGACTATGGTAGAGAACAGATTTATTAATAATCACACTAACCTTTGCTAATTAATATCTGTATTGAACATGTTGTATAGACAATAAAATTTTTTGATGTTTAAGAATTAAAAGTTTGCACTGCTGAAGTATAAAAAGAATCTAAGTTACCAATATAAGCTATAACTAGTGTTTACAAATACCCTAAAGGAGACGTGATAGTACGAGAAACAGAGCTAAGAAAGAAATCTGAAGCCCGGAAGCGGAACTCGCAAAGCTCTTCCTCACTTGGCGACCGTTCAGAGCCTGTACTGGCCGGAAGTTATCTACAATCACGTGATCGCTATTTGGTGTATCATCCTCTTGCAGCATTCGGAACATACCAAGCTGTGGCAAAGAAAAAAGAAAATTAACACTCCGATTATTGGTCTGAAAGTTACGTTTCTTTCAGGTATTTCTACGACTAAAATTAATGTGACCTATAATGACATCTAATCAGACTTGTGTTATAAAATATCACTGTTATACCATCCATTAAAAATTGTTTCCTATGTAATTCTATACTAAAAAAAGTCTAACATTTCCATTGTTTTACTGAGCGGACATAAAAAAATCGATGATTGACCGCAGAGCGAGATATTGGACCTGTCGATGAGATGTTGGACCTCTTACGTCACAGTGTGGGCGGGGTCAGCTGTATCTTATTTGCATTCGTTGGAGTTCGACAGAACTTTACGGAATTGACCAAGATTAAACCGCAGTGAGGGTAAACAAAATTTACATCATGTTATGTCAAAATAAAAAGTAAAAGGTATAACAAAACATTTTTGACTGTGTTCTCGGGCAAATGCGTTTTGTCGACCACTCGAACCAAACTGTTAGCCTTCGGCCTAACGTTCTTGAGTCTTGCCCTCAAACCCAGTCAATAAATGTATATTATGATTTTTATTCTCTGTTTTTTTTTTTTTGAAAGCCTAAGGACTTTTGTGTCCGCTTGTCTGTCAACGTTTTCATGTTCGATACGTCACACCCTTCAGTTTAAAACAAATATCAAACTTATCATGCAATTGTGGGAGTGTTTGTGTAGTAACTCAAAAAAAGGTTGTTGATCTAATTTTGGCGTAATATGTGTATGCTATTCAAATCATGCATAATGTGAGGATTAAAATCATCAAGAGTTGAAACACCTCTGAAAGAAGGTGTTTTGCAACTCACTGTAGGTCATGGTGCACTCCTTAATTTTGAAATTTGTGTATGGCAAAACAAACTAGTAGTCGAATGGGGTCTGGATCATATCTTGCACAATATGAGACCTAAAATAGTCGATCAAAAAGGTGTGTTACGACCCAAATGCAGATCGCCATGCTTCAAACATAGTCAAATTGGGGAAAAATACAGTGTAAGAATTATAAAAATCTATCAGTTAATCAAATGTATTTTCAAGTACGGTGGATCATGGCTCCAAAGTAATGATGACCTGTTATCAGTATCATGTGCCCTTTTGGCACAGTTTATCATATCTTGCCCTGTAAAAGACCTATAACTGTCCAGGCATCACCATAACAGATCCATTTTTACTGTGATTGTACAATTATTTATTAAACCTACTGTGGAATCATTAGATTTCGTGGTTGCTAAATTTTCTTGGAATTCGTGGGTACCTCTCATCCACGAATTAACATCCTCCGTGAATTAATAAACTAATGTTACAATGTCATATGTCCTCTTGAAGGTAAAATGTATAAGAGAATAAACGAAATTACGCCCCCTCGAACCTGCTAAATTTATAAGCATACCACGAAAATTGGCCCCTACCTGTGAATAGCAAATATAGCCATAAACTACCTGTGAATAGTAAATAGCTAAAAACTACCAGTGAATAGCAAATACAGCAGCTATAAACTAACCTGTGAAAAGCAAATACAACAGCTATAAACTGACCTGTGAATAGCAAAATTTAATAGCTATAAACTACCTGTGAGTCAGAAATTGGGATAGTATTCTCAAAGATAGTCCACACCACGCTCTCAAAGCACGGGGGCGTCGTCAAACTTCCGGAATATCTGTAGAATCGATCGGCATTTCCGCTCGAAAGTGGAAGCATAAAACCGATATTAAAACCTGTAAGTTCTGTCATGGACCCTGAAAAAAATATTCATGTTATTCATTATTCTTCATTTATCATATGATAACCCCCCTTTTTTTAAAATAAGAAATACAGATAAGTCAATATTTTTATACTTATTTGTTCCCTACCTTTTGTTTTAACGTCATTAAATTTATTTAATAAAGTGGTCAAAGCGCTGTTATCAGTATTTCCATTTGGCTGAAAAACCGAACAAAAACAAAATTAAAAACAACAACTACAACAACATCATCAACAAAACAACAACAACAACAACAAAAAGAAATTAAAGAAAATTTAATTTTATTAAATAAAGAAAATTGTTTTCAGTGCTGGATTTAGAGGCGTGCTCTCTCTGAATGCGTTTAACAATGTAGATATAGTGTAGAAAGAGATAAATCAGGGAAAACATGCTTTCTTCTTAATTTCGAAAAAATAATCATTGGTTATGCCTCTATGGCTGTTATGCCCCTATGACTGAAGTATATTTACATACAGAGAAACGCCCACAGATCTGATTAAAATTTAGCCATTAACCTTTTTTCATGCTAGGATGCACCATATGTTTCTTATGTTTGAACTGAAAAACTTTAGAAATGTCAAGATAAAGGTCACATTGAGAAAATCGTATTTTTTACTTAATCTCCATAGGATAAGAAGGAGAATTCACAAGAGTAAAAATAAAGAGATATATTTGCAGCTTGAATAAAATAGTGCATACATGTAGTGTAATTTTTATTCCAAAATTAAGGTGTCGTTTATTTATTTTTGTTACATCGTGGTAAATGAATAAGTCCCAGAAAATTATGATTTGTGGAATTTCCTAAATGGTATGCTGTTTTGTTCCGATTTCCTGAATTTATGAAATTGAGGAAAACGCCCACGTAACCGCTTTGGTCGAAATTTCGGCGATTTGACCCGTGCCTTATCGCGTTCTATATACTATACACTATTCTTCTACTACTAGCTTCCTCGCCCTGTCACTCATATATAACGCTAGTGGTATAACGGGATACCAGGAGCAATATTATGCGAACACGAGAGTAATTTAGCTGTCTTGCGTTGTCGTTTGCTATTGCCTGCCATGGCCAGACAGCGAGTTGTCCTATCAGTACTAGTACTTCACATCTAATGTTGTTTAAAATGTTAGTGTAGCATTCCACTTGGATCGATGTCCCTTACCACAAAAAAGAAGCCGAGTACAGCCAGACCATCTCCTGCCTGCGAGGCGGCGTTCGATAAGTTTCCGTACTTCTCATTATAGTTGACCACGTGGAGCTGTTCAAATACAATCATCATATTATCATGGACAGTGATAAGGTGTCACCATATACATGTATTAAAACTTTAAAATAAAAATACAGAAATAGATTTAATTTAAAAAATACCTTATTGTAATACTCAGTACATGTGGTTTTCTATCATACTAGTGTAATAATTGTAGTTTTTCTATCTGCACAATGGTTCAATTGTCATTGTATACTTAAAGCCTTTGCCCCCTCCCCCTCCCAGATGTTGATCTGTAGATATTTAACATCAGACAGATACTATTAGTACTGTAATTGATGTATGAACTTCCCTTCTCGTGTTGTTTCTATTTTAGTCAGTATGTTAAAATTCTTCACCCAGCGTTAATATATACAATTAGTGCAAATCACAAACGAACATTTTTCTGCACTGATTCTGTATAAACAATTTAAACACATTGCCATAGAAATTTAAACAATTTGTTTTAAAATTCCTCCCTTTCCGAAAGTTTACTACAAATCCCATGCTAACAAACAATGAGTCAAGGATGAGCCCTGTCACAACTCACTTCCAATTTGTTCAGCATTAGTTTTAATTTTATAGAGATCACACTAATGAATGCTGAGGCTGTAATTATGAGAATTAAGTCAAGTAGAACTTTTGGGGTTAGAATTGCTCCTCCGATCCTTGGAATACTTTAAAAGTATACATTGTTAAATGATCCTCATCCTATATAAAAAAGAACCTGATCAGACTAAAACTATATATATACATACATACATGTACATACATACATACATATACATACATATATATATATATATATATATATATATATATATATATATATATATATATATATATATATATATATATATATATATATATATATATATATATATGCAACACAATTCATTGCAGAATCAAAAACTGATATACAAAAATATGTGCCTCAGTATCTTCTACTTGTGTGAAAAGTTTTAATGGCATCAGATCAAAAGTGCAGGAGAAATACTTTTTTGAATAATTTCAAAGAAATATTTTGTTTAGTAACCATGAGAACATCATTCACAAAAATCAGAAACTGATAAAGAGAGTTAAGTTTATATTTATTAACTCAGTTATAATATTGAAATCGGTCTAAATCTCTAGGAGGAATAGTATTTTGAAAGAATTTCAAGAATTTTCAATTTTTAGTTACTATGGCAATCACCTTCATCGAAATAAAAACCGTTAAAAAGAATTATGTATCTTGATGTAGTCTAATTGTGTATCAAGTAATATTGAAATTGGACCAAACCTAGAAGGAATAGCGTTTTAAAAGAATTCCACAAAAATTTCTTTTTCTAGTAACCATGGCAATCCCATTCATCAAAATAAAAAAAATATATATATACAAAATTATGTATCTAAGTGTAGCCTAACTGTGTACCAAATTAATTGAAATTTGACCAAAACTGTAGGAGTAGCGTTTTGAAAGAATTTAACAGAAATTTCTAGTTTTAGTAATCATGGCAACCCCGTTTATTGAAATCAAAAACTGATGTACAGAATTATATATTTTGGTGAAGTTCTATTGTGTACCAAGTTCGATAGAAATTGAATTAAAACTGTAGAAGTAGGAGGGGTAGCATCTCGAAAAATCGTTTACAACTAGACAAACAGATGTCGGGTCAAGTCTCTGACCAGTAGAGCTAATAACACTCAACATTTATGAAAGCGTCTATGAGAGAAGATTGGCAAACAAGGCAAGCACAATGCTATTGTGTGACAAACAAGAAAGTGAAATATTTTCTTTGATATATCATGTAACATGAACGTATACTTTATGTCAAATCTTTACAATTTGCAACAACCTAACACAGACTGAAATTATTCGTATGTGAAATAGCAAATATACACATCAAAGATGACAAAAATGATCATTTTTTAAAAAATACTTTATTAGAATTTTTTCATACGAGTGGGTCTTCAGTCCATTTTTTTTTTTTTTTTTTTTTTTTTTTTTTTGAAAAATACCGGTAATACTCAATGTATGCATAAAACTATTCATATTTCGGTTAACAAAAAGATTGAGCAAAGACCCACTATACCTAAAAAATACACTTTTATGACACAAAATTCGTATCTTTCCGAGAAATGTTTAGAATCCATTTAGTCAAGGGTTATTTCAAAACCGTGATTTAATTGCCACTACTGTGAGCGGTGTTAGTGGATAGCGTTTTATAGCCTCTAAGAAAAAAGATACTTCTTTTATTGCTTGAGTTCGAACCCAAGAATACCATAATTTTTTTTTAAACCACATAATGCTTTTTGCCTAAAAATTCTCTGCAGAAAAAAATTGTTTGTCAACATTTCATACCACTTTACTCTAAATACTAATCTACAAACTGAATATGACTTTTATGCATTTGAATCTATAGGCATTCTGCACGCCTTATTCGCCCTACTCCTTTTTGATTAAGGTTCATCATCCATTCGCTCACTCACGTCAGATTTTGCTTTAACGCTTATAATTTCCTTAAGAAATCTAATAAATCAAAATACAAATAATTTCAGCATACCATGTGGGGGAAATTTTGACAGAAATGACACTTTAACTTAACAATTTTACAAAGGAATTATGGTCAACTATCGCAGTAAGAGTTATCGTTCTTTTCAGACATTCAATGAACTTTAAATGTCTAAGCCAATCAGAAACAAGAGCAGACATTTTAAAATCCTAAGAATTTGAGAGAAATTAGACCTCGGGATCACAGAAACATAATTATATAGAACGTTTAGTTTTAAAATAAAGTGAAGCTCGAAATTAAGAATATCCTTTTGTATACTACTTAGCGTTATGAATAAATTGACCATACTCTAAGATCTCAATTTTCATGACCTAACGTTAAGGACTCAGACTTATTTCTTTTGAGGTATACTGGCATAAGCATTATTTAGAGTGAACGATAGAACTGATTAAGATTGACAACTCTGGATAGTGTTATCAATGACCAACCAACAATAAATATTTATGTCAAAAAGCATGGGATGAAAAGGGATATTCTGGAAAATATTGACACGTTCAAGGCTTTCCAGATAGGCCTAACAGATCGAAGCATAATACAGACGTAGGATATACATTGTAATCAGAAAATCTCTCTTGTGTTACTATGGACTAAAAAGAGTTACTGTTTGTTTTTGGAGGATCGCTTATAAATTATGGTTCTTGCTTAAAACAAGGTCCTTTCAAAGTATTCCTTTGCTAATAAATTTTACCATTCCTTACCGCCCAGAATGCTGAATTATCTTGTATCTCTACACTGATGTGTCTTTCAAGTGTACAAGGAATTTCAATGAGTACGTGACTATAATATAAGCAATAGAAAATATATTGATAAAAAGACTTGGAAGTCAACTTTCAGGCAACTCCCACGATTGATATTGCCGTAAAGTAAACAAAGATTGCCAAGTGAACGTTTGTGACGGTACATATTGTCGTCTTGTTCATAAAGTCGTCGGCGACAATATTCGCCTAACCTCACTTCACGTATTGTCGTTCACCAACTGTCGCTGGCGACAATATGTGCCTTCCCTCACTGCACGTATTGTTGTCCCATTTGAGGGTTAATTGTGTCAGTTTTAAAATTTTTTTTCTTAGTTTTGTGAATGTATTAATCACCCAGAATTGTCACGTACGCATACATGTCCATGTATTTCACGGAATGCGAGATCGCGCAATATTCTGAGTTTCTCTTTGTATATATTGATATGCTTGAGTTTACACAAAAATGATATTCAAATCGAAAATTTCATCTTTAGTTTTCATGAGATTGCATGGAGAAAAAAAGGGCTTATTTCGGCACATATGATTAAAGGAGATACATAAATGTACGTAATAAACTCTCAACATCACAACAAACACCGCCTGAAATATATATATTCTATAATTTGAGTTTAAGAAGATACAAGTTCTTACCTCCGTGTACTTATGAATCTACACGTCGTGTACAACTTGTAGAATTAAGCGGTATGCAAAACTGATGAATTAAATCGCAGCAAATTAGGGGATTTCCCTAGCTACACGTACACGTAGACGTACACGGTCATCTGCTTAACCTCTCTATTAATATGTACAGATGAACGACAATATTAACATTGAGGTTTTTTTTTAATTTGTAATTTTATTTTACATTGCTATTGGTTAAACCTTCTTCCCAAAAGTTTTTTTTTCATAATGCGTAACAAATGACGTTTTCTTTGTTATACAAAGAATTCAATTCCTTTCCTTGCTGTGCTCTCTTTTGTTTGTACATTTGTTTGTACAAGACACCAAATGGGTTTTAAATGATTTCATCCTCTGATTTAAATACTTCTTTGCATGATCCTGATAACACTTACAGTTAGTTGGTCGACATTCAAAGTATAGCTGCATCACCTTAACACTTTTTTTTAAAGACATCATAACGTTGAAAAAAAAATCCCGGTCTATTTTTTCCAAAATGTAAAATTGTTTCCTTTCTTTTTAGAATGGTATGTTTTAGTTTAAAATATGGTTAACATTTAAGTTTTTACAAGCAGCTGTAAATGGGACAGATATATACAGGGCGACAAAATGAACATTCCTAATGCCCCCCTCAGGGCAAATTAATTTCTTATTAAACATTCCTATGGTAGCTTTTAACGCTATATACACTATACAGATATTCTTTACTTTCCCAGAAAAAAACTTCTAAAGCTAAAACAGAGATTATATACTTTCACTGGATAACTTTAACCATTAAACAGCGATTCTTTAATTTCTCGCGGTAACTTTTACTGCTACCACAGGGATTCTTAATTTACTTTCCCTGAGTATCTTTTATTGCAAAAACAGGAGGGTTATTTTTTACTTTCCATGGGTATCTTTTACGGCTAAAACAGAGATTTCTTACTTTCATTGAATAACTTTTTACTGCTAAACAGGGATTCTTACTTTCCTTTGGTAACTTTTACTGCAATACATGCAGTTATTTAATAATGGGGATTCGTTACCTCCAAATGGTAACTTCTACCGCTAAATACAGTTTCTCAATATTTAACACTATACAGACCATTCTTTGTCTTTATAACGTAACTTATAATGTAATCTCTATGTAAAGGAATTCCTTATCCTCACTGGGTAACTTCTATCGCGAGTTACAGGGATACCTTACCTGTGAGGGTAACTTCTATCGCGAGTTACAGGGATACCTTACCTGTGAGGGTAACTTCTAAATTCCTTACCTCCATTGGGTAACGTGTGCCGCTGTAAAGATGCTCCGATCCCTGTGTGTTGTCCCTTCCCCAGTGGAAATGGAACTGGGCGGTCTTGTATCGCCCTGGGAGTCCGCCTCCCTCCACCATTAGATTTCCCTCCTCCACGCTTACTTTTACTGAGAACACAGAGAAGAGGATAGGATTTTTCTTTTTTCCCCCTCATCTTCAAGTTACTAATATTTTTTCCTGCGGACTTTCAAATTCTATTCTTCGTGAATATCTAAGTTTACAAGGATATTTCATACGCGCTTCACATTTTTTGTACATGTATTTTAACATAAAACGCATCTCAACATAAATCAAAACGCACCTCAACATCAATTTTGGTCCGCTCCCCCCCCCCTCCCCATAAATTATTTATAGTATCCGCGGAATGTTTGAAGTCTGAGTAGTCATCTTAAATATTTCTTAATGTATATAATATTTTTTTTAACAAAGGATGCTATACAGTGTACTCAGACATTTTGTAACATTTCTGTTACACCCAAATAATCTTATTTTGCCAAAACAATTCTAGGATGTGTCTTACAGTATACACGATTAACGAAGGTAACAGATTTCCACCAAAGTCACACCACTACATGTACATTGTATTTTTATAATATTGCATACTCAATAAATAATGGAAGTTGATACATGTATCTATTGAAGTTTAAAAAAAAAGATTTTCTCATTTCTTTTTATAAAAAAGCTCATCAAATAATTAATAAAAATCAGCCACTGCCTCAAGTCTGGTATAAATTTAAAAACAAATGATATGGAATATTTACCTGTGTGACCATTATTGAGAACTTTTAATTTGTAATCCTGTGGGTTGATGAATCCTGAAAATTGGAATGGTTTTAAACTAGGGTCAAAGATCATGTCCTCGGTATCGGGGAGGTTGATCGGGGACTGACTGGTCAGACCGCATATAGGATAAGAGTTCCTCCACTGAGTGGGGCCTGTCAAAAAAGTTTTTTTTTCAAAATTATGTTATATTAATTGATTTATTTGCTTCCAAAGTCAATAAATTAAATATCCTCAGTCAGTGTCACATTCACCACGGCTTGAGACGAAGGTAGTCCTTCCCACAAATTAATTTAACTAGACAGTTCCAAGGAACACGTGTGACCCCTAACAACAATATCTAGAATATTATCATGTTGTATGATTGTTTCAAACTTGAATGAATATTTCATATAAAATTGAAAAGAAGAGAAGCATGTTTGAGACTTGATTTTTTCTTCAGAATTAGGTCTTGTCTCATGTACATGTAATTTACATACTTAAAACTACATCCCCATCATAAAATTATACATAATGTATGTGGACAATATTAAAAAAAAAAAAAAACAGAAATACAAAATAATGGCAAAAAGAAGAGCTCTTAAGATTCAAAGAATTTATAATTATTGTTTGTATAAGTGGGTCAAAGGTCAAGATCAAGGTTTATATGTCCACTGCTTTATGAAATGTCTACTAACATGCTAGTTATGTCGAAAATAAAGTTCAAGGTGAAAGGGTCAATTATCCTTGTATTTGATTTCAACGTGTCTTAAATTACGAGGAGTACCTTGCTTAAATCACGTCGCTTCTGATGGTTCAAAAGATATAGAGTAGGTCAATTTTATTTAATAACTCATGGACGAAAAGTAAATCTAAACCAAGTTAACGTCTCTAGGTCAGTAATAATTTTTTTTTAATTTTGAGATTTTTTTTAAAAAAGCTCTTTTTCCTGGTAATATTCATACAAATGTTAACCTAAACCACAGTGTTATGTTAACCACCCTTTGAACAACCTGCGTCAGATATTCAAAAAATTAGAGACGTAAAAGACAGAAAGACAGACGCCAGGCAAGGGGTGTCTTCCCACTTAGCCAAAATTCTGAAATTTATACAGGTGACTGGTTTTGGCTAGGTGGGAATAAACCGGGCAAGGTGATCCTCCAGTGTCACTGTACACCTCAGGCGACACATAACGAACACTTTCAATCATTAGCTCATATATATCAATGCTTCCGTATTATTCTGACGAACGATTTCCTCTTCTTTGGAAGTGTGAAACAGCTGTAAAAGACAGCTGTGGAACATTGGTTCGTTCCGACAAACGCTGAGCTGCGTACAAGGGTTGACCAGCAAATTTCAGAAAAGCCATTATTTGACAAAAAATATATATAAAGGATATATATAAAGACAAGCCAGGCAGTAAAAAAGACCTATAGGCATTTCTGGTTACAAATTTACAAGCATTGCATAAGGGACGTGCTGAAGAAATAAAAAGAGGGCCATCGGCCACAACGCTCGCCCAACTCGTCTTATCCCAGGTGTCCTTTAGAATATTGGCCCCACCCTAACTTCGGAGGCTATACTTGTACAGTGCATCTACAACATCTGAATCTTGAACTCGAATCTACTTGACATGACGATGTTTGTATATTTTATATCACTAATCAGGACCCTATTGTTGATGAAAGGAAAATTTCGTAAAATTTTTCTCTATATTCCCACTTTAAACTTTGACTCTTATTATGGTCCTATGGTCCCTCCCTACCCCAAAGGACCTTATCTTGAACAAACTTGAAATCTACAAAATTTGAGAAAACTCATGTAGTAATTCAACTAATCAAGGTCCTGCTGTTCTTTAAACGAAGTTATTATTTTAAAGATTTTTTCCCCTATGTATTAATTCTTATATAAAACTTTGACACCCTATTCTGACCCCACCCTACTCCCACAGGCCAGGATTTTAACAAATTTAAATGCAAGTTTATATGACTAATCATGGCCCTGTGCTCATTGAGAAAAGGATTTCTTTTAAAAAAAAAAATCCTCCAACATATTCCCATGTAAAACTCTTGTGGCCCCATCCTACCCACTGGAGCCATGTTTTAAACAGTTTAAATCTACACCATCTGAATATGATTGCATATACCGGTAACTAACCATGATCCTGCTGTTCTCGAGAAGATTTTTAAAGATTTTTTCTGATATATATTCCCTCGCTAAACTTTGATCTTTTATTGCGGTACCATCCTCTCCCATCGGACCATGTTTGTGCATACCTGAATCTTCATTATGTCAAAAAGATATTGATTTATAAGTTTCATCTTGTCTGGCTCTTGAGAAGAAAATTTTGAAGACACCCACCCTATTTTTACCTTTTCTCTTTATTTTCCCTTTCAAGAAGGTATGGCCCTCATTGAAACAAACTTTAACTTCCTCTACCCAAAGATGCTTTGCGGCAAATTTGGTTGAAATGGGCCCCAGTGGTTCTGGAGAAGTAAAATTATGTGAAAAGTTTACAGACGAACGGACTCAGGACAAAGCACACGAGCTTTCAGCTCAAGTGAGCTAAATATAAAAAAATGGGTATTAATTCCTTTAAAAAGACTTTTTTGACAAAAAAAAAAAATCACTGTGAAAAGGGCATTATTATTTTTTGCACTTGTCAAATTTACTATCTTTTCAACCTGAAATTCTGGATTCGCCCTTGATTTCAATCAAGGTTATTTAAGATATGATTCATTATCAAGAATTAAAGCAGAAAAAAAAATTAACGTGCGACACCAAAGTCACCTTTACACCTCACAACACAGGCTTTAATTATAAAAAGATAACGTATATCATATTTTCAATATCCTAGATTATAAGATATTTAAAAATGTCCCGAGAAATGGTAAATTAATTGTTATATTTTGTCACACTTTGTTAACGATGATAAGAAATGACTATATCCATAGACCAATGTACCTCTGTTTTCAAATCTAAAACCTGACAACGTTTTTTGCTGAAAATCACTTGTGCATATCTATGTTTAATGAAAATGTTAACAGATTTTTATGTAAAAGTCAGAAAGTTTCAGAGTAGATCTGTTCACTGATTTATAATTAAACATGATCTAAGAAAAATGGTACTGCATACAAATTTCTTTAATAAAAATTTGAAAAAAAATGTTTCTTATTAAACTGGTGCCATTTAAGTGCATAGTCATCAAATTTACATTTTTCATATAAACTCGTATACTAATAGACTGTTATAGAGAGAGAGAGAGAGAGAGAGAGAGAGAGAGAATGTTAAGGCGGAGTATTCAATATGTTGTCGATCATTCCTGTCATCCTAGTTCTGTTGATATTGACAGATAATTATCATCATTTAGGTACTAGTTTTATCCGGATATTCAAAATTATACAGTGCAGTGATGTATTTCTTTATGAATCAAAAATTCTTTACACACGGAAGCTGTACTATATATACAGGAAAGAAGGCTTCAAATTAAAACGTCGACAAAATTTAGAATTACTTAAAGATATCTGCTGATTTTACATTGATGTAGAAGAAGGATGGACACACCACACCCACTGTTTTTGACCGAAGTAGAACAACTAACTTCGACATGAATAGATCCAGGACCCCCCTTCCCCCCGGATGGGGTGGGGGTTGGTGATGTCGATCCTTACTCACTAAAATTCCAACTTAGAAATTTTACTGCGAATGAGGTATACTATTGACGGAGTTTGATATTCCTATATTGGGTTCTTGAAGACGGCGAAATTGTTAAAATCAGACAATCAGTGTTCATAAATATTCTTTTATATCCTTTTATATATATGTAAGATTTTACTTCTTAAAAATGTAACAGCCATGTTGCTTTGGTCATTATGTGTTCTGTAACGAAATCTTGTGTCAGTCCATTAAAACAAAGGTATATTACTACATGTAGATGTGTCAGTCCAGTAAAACAAAGGTATACTACTACATGTACATGTGTCGGTCCATTAAAACAAAGGTATACTACTACATGTAGATGTGTCAGTCCATTAAAACAAAGGTATACTACTACATGTACATGTGTCAGTCCAGGAAAACAAAGGTTTTTTATTACTACATGTACATGTGTCTGTCCAGTAAAACAAAGGTATACTACTACATGTAGATGTGTCAGTCCAGGAAAACAAAGGTATACTTCTACATGTACATGTGTCTGTCCAGTAAAACAAAGGTATACTACTACATGTACATGTGTATATTATCCACTCACCGTTTGTCTCTCCATAGGTCCACGCTGAAAAAAAGACAAACTTATGTTACAATTTGATATGACAAAACTTACTAACTTGTAACAACCCCCTCCCCCCCCCCTTCTTCACAAGAGCAGGTTTGTTCCTTTTTTTTAAAAGTTTTTTTTGCCCCTAAGAAGGACTGTGTTTTAAACACGGAAAATTTTCGAAAAGCCATATGGCTCATCAAAAGTTTGCAAATCTCATTTAAGAGTCCGTTACACTCCCGCGATACTTCACAGGCAGTTTCCTTAGTGCGAAATGCCCCCATACCGATCTTAATGCTATTATATATATTGTTCAGTTAGCGGAGTTAGGGAGCCTTGAAATGACAAGAGATATTCCAGCAGATATTGCTAACAGCTTCTAGTGGGAAAATGTCGATAATCAACTGTCAATTTGTAACACTCAGCACCGGAAAAGGAAATTTCCCGTCCAAAAGTCTCACTTGATATTCAAATTATCTCAAATAAACTAAAATAAAGTTTAGATATTACGAGTTTTTTGGGGACATTTCGTACTCCTTGAGTGCTTGAACTTCAGATACCATTAACAGTTATTACAAATCCAGACACTTCATCAGGAGACAAATCTTTGCATGGGGTCAAAATAAAAACCCTGTGATGCTGGAGATGCTAAGAATCTATTGATTTACGAGAGGATTACCCCGAGGGATTAATAGAGGCTTTCTTATCATCATAGGGGAACACGGAACAGACACAAAGATCTGCGAAGAATGGCTCGATTTCAGCTGGAGTGGGGTGGGGGAGGGGGGGGGGGATAAACATTCTATCATCTATGAAGGTCGCACAAGGACAAATAATAAAAAATCCCTAAGTGCACTTATTTAAAAAATGATTATGTGTGTACAGCAGTGGGAGATATGGAAGGAGAGGGTATAAAGATTGTGATCAGATTTCTGAGGAATAACGAGATTAGACAGTGATGAGCCATTCCTGTCAGGGTTAAGATGGCAGTATCTGTTAATAGGTATTCGTTCATTCTTTTTGGTCAGAGGAGTTTATACTCTATACTGCAATATGATATACATAACTGTTTTGATAATATAACTTGGCGTGTTGCTTTTTTTCTTATCATTACACGGAAATTTATAATCACATAACTATAATATATAAAATATATGAACATGTAATAATAAATCCATTGATAATAAAATCCATGTTTTAAGTTTTGTCAATTGTCACTTTATTTGATGAAAACAGAATTCAGTTTTACTTAATTTCCCTGCTGTCAAAATATGAGAAAAATTTCCACGCCTATAATTTGATAATAATAATTTTGTTAACAAATTTACAAATAAATAAATAAAAAAGAAAGAAAGAAGGAAATCGTCCAAAGTCACATGCATATACATGTACAAGTTCTGCAATCATTTCATCAGGGTTTTTTTTTAAAATCATTTTTCTTGTTATTAATACTTTTCTATTTTTTTCGATGAGTTTAAAAAATAAAATAAATTATTTTAATATATCCCCCATCAAAAAATAAATAAATAAATAAATAAATAAATAAAATGAAATGACTTGTAAAAATCAATACTCACCTACTTCACTTGCCGAGGCAAAAACACTACAAGAAAAACAAAATATTATAACTTGTAAAATTACTGCCATTGTGAAAATCCTATACATGTATTGTGTGATATTTTCCTCTGATGCAGAAAATGTAGCACTGAGCTTCACATCAACTGGTTATAGCTGAGACGCTACGGAGGCCCATACGGGGGAAATAAAACACAATTGTTAAAAAAAAGTCCGCAAATTTGAAACTTTAAAGTGATTGACTTTTTCCTAATGTTGCATGTACTTTATATCGGAGTACAACATCTACACGTAACCACACAATACGTCATTACTGAGCTATATTTTGACTTGTGAAGAGTCAGTCAGTCCTCTGTCATTTTCCGTACGGTATGGGAAAAAGATTAGTGTCTAATACACAAGTTATTTCAGTCGGAAGTTGAACTAACACATATGTTAAATTATACGCAGTATTTTACAGTATTTTATTCTATAATGTGGTATTAATGTCGCCCCCACCCCTCTACCCCTAAAAAAATATTCATTAGCAGACCTATAGGACCCCCCCCCCCCCGCATTTTTCCAAAAAATAGACCATATACAATGTTATTTAAGTGAACAGCATAAAAAATAAAATAAACATATTCACTGTTCAACACAGCTATAAAATGGAATGCACAAATATACAAATAATAATAATTAATAATAATCATTCACTCGTAGGGTACTCTTTTATCTAACCTACGAAAAGAAGTATTCCCCGAGGACTGGTCCTTGTATCCCTGAATACAGCGTAGTGGAACTCTTCAGTGTACCCAGGGTACATATAGCTTTGTAATTTTATAACATTTTAACAGAAGTCCAACTTATTTACAGTTACGAGACATTGAGAAAGTACACACAACTAAAAGACGGAAAACGATTTAAAAATCTGAAGAAAAAAAATTACTCTAAAAAAAAAAAAGGAAATCATGTGAAATACATTGTACGCTAAACTCATGTTCATTGAAAGACCCTACATAAATCAGACTTTTATATTTCTTGATTTTATTTATAAATTTAAAACTCAATTATTTATTACTAATAAGCAATGACTTTTTTATTGGAATAGTCAGTGGTATACAGTTATAAAATGAACAGGGCCAGGCTGTGAAATAAAAAGAAATGATTTTTAAAAACCTACGTGCCATCCTTTACGATTATAGACTAGGAACATATTTTTAAGTTCATTTCTGAGATGAGCTTCCTTTTGGGGATCATTAGATAATACAGCGGATAAGCTTCAGACAAACTGTGACTGATAGAAAAGTCGTTAAAGTTCAAATACTTGTTAACTTTAGTGTGTACTTGACGCTAACTCACGTTTTAAAAGAATGGATTTAACTAATATAAGTGTTTCCGTATTCTCTTAATCTATAATGCGTCTTCCTATAATCTTTTAACAAAAACTTCAAGTATACAAGTTATCCTGTTATTTCATTAATTACTACGCCCTTTTCTGTGATTGGATTTGAGAAAACTGACGTAGTGGGGCCGGTTTTTACAGCACTGTACATATGTAGTAATAGGTCAAACTTAATACTTAAGGACAGGTGCGTTTAATTTTTAGCAAATTGATGATTAAATAACAGCACAGTCGCTATAGATCTAATTATAAACTCAAACTTAAGGTGCCACTTGCATACAATAAGAAAAAACCTTTTCCTCTTTTAAGATGAAATATTTCATAAAATACACAAATGTACCTAATAGTTGTATAAAATACATTTTTCAATGGCAAAATTTTGAATTGAAGTTTGGCGTTAAAGTCATCTTTCCTTCTACACTGTATCTGTAGCATGAAAAATATTTAATAAACAGACCCGCGAGTATTACAGCAGAACTTCGGTATCTCGGACACTCAAACACCATGGATATGTCCAAGTAATTTGGAAGCCCGAAGCTCTTTTTTAAAAGTATTTTACCTCGAACCCTCGGGTATTTTGAAGTTATTTCCCAGTCCCATCGAGTTCGAGATAACGAATTTTGACTGTATCTATGGATATATTTACAACTCAATTCTCAGTTATTATCCCGATAATCATTTCTTGCCATATTATGTAAGAATAGTGAGAAAAGAAGAAAACGTCGTTATTTAACAAAAAACCAAAAAAAGGAAATAAATAAACAAAAACAAATAAAAAAAGAAGAAAGGAAGAGAGATAGATAACAAAATAACAACAACAACAAACCAACAACTCCACTATGCACTTTATATCTCTGCATGCTTTTTCTAAGGAGTCGGTCAGCTTATTGGTAGTATTTTTCATGAAGTGTTTGAGAATAAATCTGCAGGTCTTTCTGAATGACTCAATATTTAAAATGTTAGTTATAAACTACGCAAACAATTTGGATTTTAAAATCGACAATGAAGCACCGCATTTACACAATAGTATTTTCTCATTTTTTGAAAAAGGTTCATTTTTTATGGTTTCTGGGTCTTCTCTCCATTTTTTACAGATGTTTGCTTGTTTCTTTCAATTAAATTGCACACAGATAACTTTTTAAAATCATGGAGAGATGACCCTGAGATAGCAAATTTTTAGAATAACGTTTTGAAAATGCAACATTTTGTACCAAATGACTCATCTAGGGAATTTTCAATTATTGTTTAGCAAATCAAAACACAGAATTGGGAATATATTTTTCTTTCTTATATTACAGGTACCTGATACATAAAAAAAAATGTTAAAATTTCAAGAGAAAGATTAATGAAATTTTCACTTTTCAAGTGCGCCCAAATTCCTGCCGAATGCCAATCAAATGCGACCTCGTTCTTTACGCTTACAATGCACAAGATCTATCCTATAACTTGTAATTTTAGCAGAAATTAAATTTAGTGTGTCACACAGTCTTATTAACAGGCTTCATTATATATATCACTCAGGTATCCCTTATGTACAATTATATTCAAGAACAACATTGAATATATTAATCTACCATAACCATGATTGTAAAAAAGAAAAAAAAATTCTGCAACACTATTTTGTCTCATATTTGCACTTAATAGGCCACAGAGAGGTTAAAAGACCGGATCAAAATTAGGAGAGGTTTGAAAATGAGCTGTTTATTTAATTGGTTCATATGTTGTTAAGCGTACAAAAATCCCTATCTAATCCATATGTTCCTGGTTATGATAAATAATGGGCCTGAGAAAAGACACGCTTTACAAGTGAAGATCAAATGCAAGGCGCGGATCCTGAAAGTAAGAGGTGAGACATACAACAAATCGTCTCAAGCTATGATCCCGAGTCTGGATAGAGCTCTCTCCTGTACCCTGCAGAGCGATGAGAAAGAGATAACGAATTACGAATTTACCATCTGGAAAAAAATACATGTACACATCTATACTTTTTAACGACACAGTCATATTATTAAAAACAGAAAATTAAGGGAATTCACTGGAAAACAAACCTATATATATATTTTAAATTTAGGTTTTAAATTAAAACTACTAAGATTTGGGTGTTTTCTCTCGTGTCTTCTAAGTTGTTCACAACACGTTTGTTCTCTGAAGTCTTTCAACGTGTCAAGCTTACGGCAAAGTCTACTCGACAAGAAAGTGGCCACCACTTTGATTATGTGCATTATGATTTTATGTTTGTCCTTAATTTCTAGATTTTTACCTGGATACAGCACGACAGACAGGTAGAAGGAAACAGAACAAAGTAACTCTAAGTAAAGTGGTGTATAAATCTCCCCAGATAAACCAACAATGGGGAAGTGTTTCATGACCCTTAATATTCTTTATTGTACTTCTTATTTCGTTTTCGTTCTGTTTTACTTTTACAAAAACAGATAACAATAGTTCAAAATGATGAAATTTTCTATCCGAATGCATGTCTGTTTACAAACTTTCCAATTTCAATTTTCTCACTGAAGAGCTATCTGCGTCCAACGCTAATCTGATTCAACCACTCCACAGGACCGCTATGGCAACAGAAGGGAATCCATCCTTTAAGAAATTCTTTTTTCTTTTTAATTTTATTCATGGAATATATTTGAGTAGAATTATTTCTCGCACTTTACTATTACTGTTGAAAGGCAGAGCGGAGCTACAAATCAGAGGAATATTCCCTTTGTAAATAACAATGAACAAATCATAGATAACAATGAACAAATCATAGATAACAATGAACAAATCATAGATAACAAAGAACTGATCATAGATATTTAAACAATGAAAAAATCATATACAGTGTATAAAGAGGGACTGATCATGGATAACAATGAACTTATCAAAGATAATAATGAACTGATCATAGATAACAATGAACTGATCATAGGTAACAATGAACTGATCATAGATAACAATGAACTGATCATAGGTAACTGATCATAGGTAACGATGAACTGATCATAGATAACAATGAACTGATCATAGGTAACAATGAACTGATCATAGATAACAATGAACAAATCATAGATAACAATGAACTGATCATAGATAACAATGAACTGATCATAGATAACAATGAACTTATCATAGATAATAATGAACTGATTATGGATAACAATGAACTAAATTTCTGTTATAGCTCATCGGTCTTAACTCTTGAACTTTAAAATATGATCGTTTAAATTCATTTGCGCAATAAAATTCATTTAAGAAAAAGTTCTAAAGTTAGCTTACAGGCCGGATTGTTTGAATATTTCTTTGCTCATTTACCTTGGTTTTAGATCAGGGCTTCACAGACAACAAAAGACTTCGAGGTTTAGATTCAAAAATTAACTATGACCGGGAGATTTTTAACAGACAGACGTACAGATAACGGTGAGCAAAAATAATATATGGGAATACAAAATGGGAGATCGCAAGTGCTCGTGCTTCCGAATTCCACTGCGATTTTTTGGCTGACCTCAGCGATGTTAAAAAATGCAGACAGACAGCAATGTTATATCCAATGACATTGTTGTACTACTGGAATTATTGTGTTTACCACCGGGGTCAAGTTCTACGAGAGGTTTAATGTCCTCTCAGGTATATACATGAAAAATCTCAAAGTGAGTGGCAAGTTGGATGAGTGATCCAGATTGTATGCTTGTATGAGCATCAAATCATCTAAACACAGTATTCCGCTAACTTAAAGCAAAATTCCAGATTCTGAATATTGTTAAGAATAATCAAAAGATGGCC